ATGATTCAATCTCTTTGCTTCAAGCATAAGTCGCCTTCCAGGTAGTCTTGCTAGAAAACTTTCATTGGATGCAATTAAAAGGAAGCTCCATGAAAGTATAAACAGTGGAGCAACAAGGAAATATGAGTCTGAGATTTGTGTATTCTCCCTGTTCTCCTAATTTATCATCTTATCATTGGAGGAGGAGGCAATATTTGCAAGGCAGGTTCCTTACTGCAAAGCCTTGTCTCTGATACAAGTTTTCTCTAAGTCCACAGAAAGACTGCATCTGCACCACATACGAAGACATCTCAGTTCTCTGGAAACGACAAGTATTTTTCACAAAGAAGATCTCAGTGGAACCTTTGGAAAGACCTGAGTCAAACTATCAAACTGAGCCTCGCCATCGCTCTCCTTGGGGGTCAGTTTACACTAAACTCTTCCGCGTGTCTGATGCCACCACAGACCTATTTTTTCAGCTAGGCCTAGGTCTTAAAGTTACTTTCAGGACAGAAACCAGCTCCCCCTTAATTAAGTTAGTGATGGGCTAGTAAAGGACACCAGGCTCCACGACTGACCTCAGCCATCCCCAGCGCAGACAAAAAGGCCGAACTCTTCGCAGCACCCCACGGCCAGGCCCAGCAGCGAGGGCTGCAGCAGGAAAAGGGGAGAAGCGAAGTGCTATTGATCCAGGGCAAGCAATCAATCTGCTCATCGGCCAGGAGGAAATGAACGGCCCATCAAAGAAGCAGTGCACAACCTCAGCTTCCCCGTAATGGGCCTTGGTCCTAGACTGCCTGGCATCAACGTGGTTTCAGCCCTAGGAAAGGACCCCGTGTGCAGGAGGTGCCTTCTAACAGCAGGGAGAGGGCTTGGGCAAGCAAGAACGTGAGCAGAATGCTCAAGTTTCTGTATTCATCAATAAGGGGGTTTCTCCACAGTTTGGCTGAAGAGCAGCACAAAGGGAGGGGAGACTGAGTGGAGCCATGAGGGAGTGGGACAAAAAAGCCATCTGCAAGGAGAGGGGGGCCGTTACAAAGGAGGGAAATAGGGCAATTCCCCCACATTCTTCAGCAAGGGGGACAAAGGAGTTGGTGAGCTCAGGTGAGACAGGTGGCGGGAGGCCGGAGTTCGGTGTAGGCGGCCGGGAAGGCTGTAGCTTCTGAGTACCTTGGCCAAGGGGGAAAAGGAGAGGGCGTCCCTCGGTTGGGAAATTAGGATAAAAGGGAGGCTGCATCTCCCAGCAATTTGAGAGACCCCACAGGGATATGCCCGGTGGACTCTCCCTTTATTCAAATAAAGTTTTAGGACTCCTCTGTCTCCTTTTTGGACATTCAGTTCTTGACAGTGAGATTTTCCGCACAGATGGCAGCCCGCAGCACGCCCAGAGGGCTGCATGAGGGCTGCAAAGAAGGCACCGCCAAGCCCAGGCACCAGCGACCTTCACCGCCCCTTCGTTACTTGTGAGGGAAGGGAAAAGCACACATTTTTATTACTAAAGTATAATCCGTCTGCATAGACATTGCATTTTATGGTCCCACAGCCTTTTGCAAATCTTAATTAAACAAACACTGAAAGCAGGTCCGTTTCTCAGCTCCAGTGTGGAGCCTGCATGGGTGGAAGGCCGGTTTCCTGAGCAGAGCTGAGGACGGCGCTGGCAGCAAAACTGCCTCCATCGCTGCATGATTTGCATCGGGCCAAAGCCATCCTCCTCATCAGTGCAGGACCCCAAATGTTAAGTCAAAGCTCTCTGAACAACCAAGAACCTCTCACTTCTCGCCCTTTCTCTGAACCGAAATACGCTGACACACTAGCCATCCTCCACAAACTGAGTGAACTGATCTTGACAAATATTCTTTTACTCCAAATTCTGCATGCAACAGGCTACATCCTCCAGCTCCGTCCAATATGGACCCAGTGTAGATCCAGTACACTCCCACCTGATCCAGGCGGTACTGGATCCAGAGCAGTTGTTGCATGGATGAATCCTTTCCATGCTGAAAGATTTAATGGTTGCATTGCTGTTACCTCTGCCACACAGCCTGACAGTCAAAACTCGCCTTGCTGAGTTGTCGATCATTATCAGAGTGTGCCTTGGCTTTGGCTGCATTTTTAGATTGCATGAGCCTAAACTGGGCTTAGAGGAAACCAAAATAAAACCCAAACAGTGAGAAAACAACAGATGACTGAAGCTCCAAAAAAGCTGGTGACTGCAGAGTGTATCTCCTTTCCTCCTCTACCGTGTTTTCCCCGCTGCTCACCTACAGAAAGCGTCACGAGCTCCTCAGCACACCGGGGCTGCCTGCCTGGTGCTGGTGACCCGAGCCCAGTCTGACATCTATTCCCCAGCACAGACTCCGTAGTTGAGAGTGATGGTGCTGCCCTTAAGGGGCATTCATCCTGGGAGAGCAGGCTTGTATAGATTTAATCTGAATTCAAAAGCATTAAAGAGTTAAAACCAAGAAAAACAGCCCCACGTTTCTAATATGAACCGGTCTCCGTTCTTCTAACGACGCAGTCTCGCAGCCCAAGACACAAAATGTTTTGAGGCCAGGGGCCTCAGCCTCCCCGAGCAGCTGATGCCCCTCACGATGACTGCATGGGGTCACTGCCTTTTCCCGCGTGCTCCTGCCTTAGACGAGACACAAGGAGAAGCAGCATTGCTGGCAGCATGCCAAGCCTGGTAGTCACTGAGCCCCCCAGAACTGCCTTTCAGCCTCTGGCCTGAAATTCTGCAGTTCTTCCATCCTACAAGAAGACCATTCAGGTACCCTCTTACCCGTCAGGAATGTGAAACCCACCAGCCTTCGAAACCTCTCCAGGAGGGTCAGGTGAGGCCTGTGCCATTGATGCAGCAAATACTCACTGCATCCCATCCGGCATCCACTTCCAGACGGATTAACGAAGAACTGAAATGATGCCACAGTAATTAAAAAAAAAAATCAATCCTCCAGTAGTCAACTCTGGTTTTTGCTTGTGGTACGAAAGGCAGTTTGTGAGAAGATGATCTAATACACTATGTATTGATTAATCAATTCCAACCAGGATGCTGACGGGCTTTTCTTACAATGGATGGTTGCAGAAGGAAGGGGCAGGATGCTGAATAAGAATGGGGGAGGCAGGTTGTGTGATGAACTTCCAAGGAGAGGGGAGGGAAGTGCAGTGGGGAGCAGAGCCCTCAGTGGGGAGAGATGAGGCTGAGCAGAAAGACACTGGTGAGAAATGGCCAGGATGTGAAATGAGCGGAGAAGATAATAAATCAGATATATTGACTTATCCAACATAGCGGATATGTCCTTTTCACCATATGTACCATTTACTGTGGTTGAGATTAAAAAAACTTCACTGCTGCTACAGAAACCCTCAGAAGAAGGTCTGTCAAAGAGTCCAGCCTGGGTCTAGAGCCCACAGTGAAACAGACGGAACCACCTGTAGTCCGACCAGCCAGTCGAATGGTCTGCAAGCATTAGTAATGCCAGCCTTGGTCAACACGTCCACGCTGGTTCTTCCATCTAGGGCAGCATGGGGAAGTGCAGGTTACAGCCGTCCTGACTGTGCGTGCGGCCTGGCACCGCCATGGGACAGAGACGGTCACAGCACCCAGAGCCGGTGGCCTTGACACAGCCCTGAGCTCTGCTTTACGCACAGACCCCCACGTTGCACACGCAGCCCTGCAAGCCGCTGCTCCTAGGAATGCTCATGGTGCTCTAGCCACCACAGGTGCCATAATCTCTGGCCTATTGCGCTGCCCAGCCCAACTCGTGACAGAGCTTGGCTCAACGCCGACCCCAGCCCATGGCGCAGGCGCTGCAGGACATGACGTGGTGCATCCTTGGCTGCACTGCAACCCTGCACTCCTAATCACTGCATCCCAGTGGGAGCTCTAGCACGCCCTGCCTTGCACACCCATAACTTCACTACCAGAGACAAAGGAAGTACAGAAACATCTGGAGCATCCTCCAGACCTGAACTGTTCCACTTCACGTGCACTGGGGAGGCAGGCAAAGATCTAAGCCAAGCACCAAGCTGCGGAGAACAGATGTGTCACAGCTGCCCAGGTCTCTTACGACTCCCAAAGAGCCAGAGCCCACTGTACGTAGGAACATCTGGTGCAGGTGCTAGGAACCGGCTGCAGGGCTCTGTGCACATGTTATTCAAATCATCCAAAACAGAGGCACAGCTTAGCTGCTTGCCTCTCAAGACAAAATTCCGCAACTGGGCAGGTATAATTTGATAATAATAAGTGTATTCCTGATGGTGTGGCCTTCCTATTGCTGTTAGTTGTGTGGAGGTGCCCTTGACTTTCAGGAACTGAAATGAAACCACTGAAGAAAAGGTTTTAAGCTTGAGTGGCTGTAACAGTGAGGGTCTGAGCTAGCAGGAGGCACAGCCAGCAGAGACCCCTATGAGGATTTCAACATGCAGGAGTTTCTCTACAGCCAGTAGAGTTGTGCCAGGTATGAAGATGACTTCATAAAAACACACTGGAATTGCCAACACGAGTACTGCATTTCGGTGCTTAAATCCAGCTGACATTCTTCACTAATGTAAATTACAATGCATAAGACAAAGGCTAGACCCTGTCCATAAAGGAAACATCTAGATACAAAACATCACCTTTCAAAACAACTTGTTAACCACTTCTCTGTGGGACATCTTGCAAACACACTCCCAATCACACATCCACCCTCCAACAGAGCATGCCAGCACTTCGGAGTGGTATCTGCCAGTCTTTGCCATGAAAGCATCGTGCTGGCACACTGCATCATGTTGCAGGCCCTACCACCAACCAAGGACCTACCACCAACATGGCCTGTGGTAACAGTTCTGCAGGACCTGCAGAACGACCCTAAAAAAAGTGGGAACAATCTTCCTGAAAAGCAGGTTAGGTGCTAATCAATAGAAAAAAACACTCACAAATTGACTTTTTTTTTTCTCTTTCTCTTCTCCAGTGCCACCATTCCCAAACTAATGCAATTCAAGCACTGCCCCAGAAGTGCCCAGTCCCAGCACAGACTCACATTGTAGAGGATGTCAGTCCATCCCTCCATGGTGATGCACTGGAAGACGGTGAGCACAGCAAACAGGATATTGTCGAAGTTGGTGATGCCATAGTTGGGGCCTTGCCAGTATTCCCGGCAGGTGGTCCCGCTCTCACATTGCCTGGCAGGAGGCTCCTCTCCACAAGGAAAGTCTCCCACCTCATCACCTGCAGAGGAGAGCAACAGGGAGGAAAAATAACTAATCAAAGTTATTTAAGCACGATGGTGCCTCTGCACCCTCCTGGTACCACCTCAAAAAGCTGATTTGCACTTCAGGTTTCTTTAGGCCACTTTGGATGGGTAAAAGAGCATCATATACACGTAATCATCATATAGGACTGTGGTGGAATGGGGGCTTAGGGCAGGATGGCGCAGAGCTCTCCCTGAAGAGCCCACAATTCATCACTGGCAGCAGCATTCAGCTAGGTCATAAATGATCAACACCACAATAAAACAGTGCAGTAAAATAAAAGTGAGGCCTTGAGAATGCTGCATACATAAAGCGATGCTGTGACCTAGTGACACCCCTTCACACAGCACAGCTAAGTGTTAGATATCCATGCTATAACATTAAAGCAAAAGGGCAGACTCTCCACTGCTGCCATAAGCCGGCGCTGCTCGGGGATTGCCCCTACTCTGTCCGGGTCCAGCTGCACAAGGAGCTGCCGGCTGCACCCCAAGGCAGCAGCCCCAGGGCAGGCAGCAGCTCCTTCCCCAAAGGGGCGCAGCTCGCTCGGATAGGTTGACGTAGCAAGGGAAGAGCATCCAGCAGAGCCCCTGGGATAAGGGTGGCCACAACACAAGACACCCAGCAGTACCAAGAGCAGCAGCTCTGCTTGTTCTGCACAGGGGCTGCTGCAGGCGCGTCCAGGCTGCGTTCTTCCTCTTCTCCCTTGCCTGTTGCAGCCCTCCAGAGACCTTACAAGCACCAATGAGAGCAGTTTAAAAAATAAAGGGCTGGTTTTTCAAAGCAAATAAATAAACTAGGCAATACTCCTATTAGGACAAAGATACAATTCTAGAAATATTAATGGGCTTTAAGAGTGACATGATGTTTTGGTAATGGAGCATCAGACTCCGGGTTCAAAAATCAGGCTTACCAGGAGGGAAACAAAATCAACACTACCAACAATTAGGAGTATTTTTTTACACCCAGAAAAGCCCACAGGAGGAAAGCAAGACCAGTCACTCTGGCTCCAGGATGTGTGCATGTGTCTTTGACCTTTTCCGGTTGACTCAACACCTCAGCGCATGGCTGCTCTTTCAGGCTCCCAAATGGGCAACCACAGGCTTAGTGAGGCAAGCCCACAGACAGAAAATACCAGATGCAGCTCCTGAGGATCATTTGGGAACTTGCCTTACAAAAAGGCCCTGTTTTTCCCTCTGCTTGGCCTTTTGTTACCAGGTAATGCTCTGTAAATGCAATACACGTTTACTACGAAAGGCTTTTAACAGCGGACGGAACCAGTCCCTATACGCAGGAATGGGAAACACAGAGGAGAGTCTCATGGAAAACTGTGAATCATTTTGATGCCCTCCTTTCTGCAAGCAGCTTCACAGCTCTTGGGCTGGATAAGCAGCAGAGGTTGGCTGAGAACATGCACAAGCGTCTCCTTAAGAATAACCCTGCATCAGCAATCACGGCTGCATGGAGGATGCAGGGAGAAGAAAACAAGTCATGCATCCCCTGGGAAATGAACAGCCACCAATTTTACCCGTTCTTTATCAAGACAAGAGGTTTCCGCTAGCTCAGATCAGTCTATTGGGCTAAGGAGCCCTCAATCTTTTTGCCATAGTTTGATCCCCAACATGCCTCCTTGCTGCAGTTTATTATTGACCTATGTGGGACTACTGATTTAGCAACATTTGCTGTTGGACGATTCTACTTGGTTCCCTCTATGATAGCTGAAATAGCTACTTGTGTCTCTTATGCGCCTCTTGGTTCCAGTAAAAATCTCAGGTTTCTGCTCACTTCAGGGATTTGGAACAACGATAAGCCTGAGCATCTTCCCCACCAATCTGCTACTTTGTGACAGAGGCAGCTTTTTAATGAGGTTCACATTTCCACACTCAAGTCAGTGCTTGGAGCCCATGGTATCAGGCCTTGGCTTGGTAATGAACCTCTCTAAAGCTGATGAGCACTTAGGTTTTAAAAGGCTTGGCTGATTAGACTGCAGGATGCTTCGCTGCTCCTCTCACAAGGGATTCCAGCTCCAGGAAACCTCAGCACTCTGTTGTTCCAGAAACACCACACTGCCATTTCCTGGGAAGCAGGTGGAATTGATCTCTACGATTCTTCTGACAGCAAGCACATCAACCCCGAGAAAAGAACAGGATGGTGCCTGCAAACATGACTCCTTCCTACCCGATGCAAGAGCAGATTCGGGGAGGTGGGACCTGCAACGGCAGAGCGGCCCCGCTCCCTCCCACGGCGATGCCAGGTGCTGTGATGTAGAGGTATGCAACGCAAGCACAGCACTTTTTGGCTGCACTCCCAATTCCTAGCTGGTGGCCGCCCAGCAAGCAGTAGTCAGTTACACACAACATTACATGTGACAAAAATCTGTTCCTGGCCCTCAGCTTGGCACGCAGAACTCTTAGTCATCATGATGTCAGAGAGCGCTGTCTGCAGGCAGTGCAAACAGGACTGCACTTGGTGTTTTTATTCCTCCTTTTTAAGCTAACTAATTTCTGGAAAAGCCAAAAAAAATCACTCTTCAGCCTACTGGCTAAAGGCAGACTAGAGGGGAATGCGCCTCCAAGCTTGGTGGCACTCAGCCTGCAGGCACTAGCTGCAAACCAGAGATGCCAACAATTTTCCGCCTCATTCTAGGGCTGCAGCTTAGCAGATCTGAAAACATTCTTCAAAAAACGCAAGATTCTTAATTGCTTTCTCACTAACATCTCAGTGAGAAATTATCCTCTTCCTACACACCAATAATATCACCATTATTTTTATTCCTATGCAATCATCATAATAGCCTAAGCAATGGGCTGAGCCCTGTCTTGCATTGCACTGAATACACACAGAGGTAAAAGAGTCTTCCCTGCTACAAACTCAGTCCAAAAATTTCATTTCTTCTGCACATCATTGTGCTTTGCTCACAAGCAGCCTTTAAACAGAGTAACAGCAAGAAAACAATTTCATCCTTCTTTTGCAAAGCTCTGTGTAAATTTAATATGTTAAACTATTTGCATGTTGCTCTTTGTTCAAAAGAGCAGTGAAGGATGCCCAGCGATTTGGCTAGGATGCTTTTTTATTACACTTTGAATACATCTACAAAAATCAATAGGAAGCTCTATTAGTGATAATCACTGAAAATACGAGACTGTGCTTTAAAGACACTCAATTGTACCTTAAATTGCAACCTTCTGGAGAGAGGAAAAATATTTCCATCTGTTGGTAGCCCAGATAACCAACACATATTAGCAATGTTACAATAGAAATATTTAAAAAATGCATTAAAAACATGAAAAATCATAAATAATAAAATTAATTCCGAGCCAGGGACAAGCAGCTGGCTTTCTCACAGCAGCTGGCCCCTAGCTGAGGGTCTTTGGGCATTACTGCTCTCCCGCTCCCTCTCCTGGGGTTTGTCACTCATTCCCAGGCAGACACATGGCATTCACTATGCAGCGCACAATTTCCAATTTCCTGGCTGCAGTGTTTCTTGTGATGACTGCCAGGTTTTACCCCCATCTTTCAGCGGGGCTGTTATTACCCCAGCGAGGGCTCTGCTGAGCTGCTCGTCAGTGCACCGTGGCAGCACCTCCGAGCGCTTTGCAGTGCCAGTGCAGAGCCTGAGCCTCTTGGTCCTGCACCTCTGCAGTGGTTCATACTTCTGCATGGGACCCCTTTTCCCTTGCGGAAGCTGGAGATCCCATTTAAAGGGCATTTTTATTCTTTCTACAACTGAAGGCTCCTTGCCTGCCATCCATATTCTGTCTTTTTCTTTCTTTATCTTTTCGGCTGCTATCAGTATTTCCAGCCTTACTATATCACACTGTGATGGTTCTCCCTTACCCGTGCAGCTTGTCCCAGAAACCTTACAAAGAAATTAATTGAATCAGCAGCTGCTCATATAGCTTAAAAATGCTGAAAAGCAAAATGTACCAACCAAAACAAACAACACAAAAAAGACAACAATAACAACAAAAAGCTCCCGTACAATTAGCAGGAACCATGGAAATTTGCTTCTACATTTCTAATACGCAAAGAGATAGTCCCATGCCAGAAGGCCCCAAGCACATTCATCTCTCTCCAAGCCAAAGATGCCACAATGGATAAAAGGGAGAAGAGGAGCTGCCCCAGCGTGCATGTGACAGCCAGCACAGTGGGTCTGTTAACTTTTTGGGCAGGTAAATAAAGAGGGGGAGAAGAGACGGGTACGGAAGAGGAAAAGCAACATGAGAGCAAAGCTGGAGAAAGGATCTGACAGCAATACAAAGCAATTAGGGAAGTCAAGAAAAAATGCAGAGGATAAAATAAAGAAGGAAAAATTTAAAAACAAAACATAAGAATGGAAAGGAGAAATAAAGGGAGACTTCAGAGAGCCTGCCAAAGTTTAGGCATCAGTGAAGCTGAAAACACAGCGTTAGGATTGCTGCAGGAGATGAAATAGAGAAAACTGAACCCAAGGGGCCTTGCTGACGCGCTGGCAGGGACCCAAGGGCTCCATGGCCACGTGCTGCCCTGCAGCTAGAGGCAAAGTGCAAGCACTAGGCTGATTTTTTTTCCAGGAGGCTGCTGGGACACTCTGGGATCAGCCCTGGGTTTCAGCACTTCTTTTCAAGACAGAATGGTTCACGCTGGTTAGCTGAGGGAATCCAACCTCTCATTCCTGTCACGTGCGTCTGCACAGTGCCCAGGTGCCATGACAGGGACTGCAAGCGCGGTGCCGAGGCACTGGGCGTGGGGCCAAGGCCCCTCTCACCTGTCTCGTTGGAGAAGCAGGTCTTGTGGAACTTCCCCATGTAAAACTCTAGCCCAATGATGGCAAACATGACAATGGCAAAGAAGAGCAGCAGCCCGATCTGAAGCAAGGGCACCATTGCCTTCATGATGGACTTGAGGACAACCTGCAAACCTGTGGGGATGAGAAAAGCACGTCATTAGTGAGGGCAGCGGGGGTCAGGACATGTCCACACTCGGGGCCCGGCACCAGCTCTCCCCTCAGGGCCCATCATGGCGGCTGCTGCAGGGCTGGGCCGGGAAACCCCCAGCTGGCATGACCACTCCAAGGTGGATGGAGGCCTTCATGGAGAAACCCAACAGGGCCCAAGCCTCACCCGAGCGAGCGACCCAGCCCCCATGAGAGACACGGGCAATGGCTGGGAACCCCGAAGGCCAAGGGAGACTCCCAATGCGGCCACAACATCCCAAGGGGCCGTGGAGCAAAGGCAGTGGCGTGGGCAGTGCATGCCTGAGCGCAGCCCTTCACGCAAGCGTTCGTACGAGCTTGGTGCCTGAACACTGAAACATTTCGGGTGTTGGGCCCTCACATCTCAGATGTCTGAGAAGCCAGTCTAACCCCCTAGACAAGCAGTCACCGGACAACTTCCCAGCCACCCTCCTGCAGAAAATGCACTTTAATTTGGGCTATGCACAAAATGGGATGACACAAAATTCAGAGCTAGCAAAGACCAGCAGCCACAGACCGCAAGGAAGGGTGGAAGAAGGAATTGCCCAGAAAAAGAGTTTCCCAAGCACTCCAAGACTACAGAGCAACACTGGGTAACAAGGACAGCGTTATCATGGCACTCACTTGGGATTCCCGACACAAGCTTCAGGGGTCGTAGCACTCGAACAGCTCGCAGGGTCCGCAGGTCAAAATCAGTCCCTGCAGTTGCTAGAATCCTAATTAGAGAGAGAGAGATGGGATCAAATGGAAGCTCCCTTTTCCAAGCTGTGGATAAATGTTGCGTAAAACCAATACATTCAGGCTGCTTCAAACTTTATTCCTGTCATTACATTGAAAATCGTATTCTCTGAAAACAAACATTTCACACGTTCCTCCAGAGCTGCTGAGCCTCACACATGTGAGAAGAAAATCCTCCATACCTGCTGGCATTATGAGGCTCTTTACACAGGGAGCAGGCCTGGGTCCGGCCCTGACAGAGCAACACCTCGCACTTTTAGCAATACCTACACCATTTTCCAAGGAGGAGACAAAGAGAGAAATAAACTTCTGCAGGCAAGAAATTACCTGCCAGAGTCTTTGCCTGCAATAAAATTAGAGGCCCCTCAAATACTAATGTCTGGTATTTCCTAAAATCTGAAGCAGTTTATTGATGTATACTTTACTCTGTGTATATAAAAATCAAGTTTTGATCAGTGTATCTCACTTGATTACACCCAGAGAGCAGAGTACAAGCAATTCCTCTGATAGTATGCAGTAAGTCTGATATGAAATACAGCTCCCAAAGCAGAAGAGTTCTTTACAATTACTCTACATGGAAAATAAAATGGCTTCCCTGTTTCATGGGAATGGTAAAGGAAGAAATTTTGTCAGGGAGACCACAAGCTATCAAGAACACACATTCCTTAAGCAAGGGACCTGCAAGGCACACAACACCCCATAGACGGCACAGCAAAACTTTACTCATTAATTTCTGTACCTCTTCTGTTGTTTCAACAAAAAATACTAATGATTAGGGATAGTGCTCCTCTAACACAACCCAACTGGGCTGTTAGTCCAGAGCAAAATCCCTCTCACGGCTCCCCACTAATTGCTTAATTTAAAGCGAGTTCCATTTGTTTTTGGTGGCATTTTTTCCCCCAGGTTTAAGGTGAAGGTGCCAAGCGGCCAGAGCAGCAGTGAGATTTTTAAGCACTCTATGACCAAGGTGAGGGCTGGGCATGGAACTGTCACTTTGCTAACCAGAACTGCTGCCCAGAAGGGCCAGACCTCGCTAGCCACATAACCCAACCATAATCTCATACTTTCACAAACCTTGCTGAGAACTAGTACAGCAGAGGGACTTGGAAACCAGGTTTAAGCCTAAGTGAGGTTCCAGGGATGTTGTGAAAGGAGTGGAAGAGCTCTCCCCTAGGCCAAGGGGACACGCGGAAGGAGGCGTCCGGAGTTTCGGCAGCCAAATTCAGGCCTGTCGCCCATGGACCAGGCGCCCGCACATGCCCGTTCGGCGCAACGAGGCTGTGGCACAGATCGCCCGCGGCGTGCGCGCCTTACCCGCTCCTGCCCAGGAGCCCTTCTTCTGGGTACCTGATAACAGGCTGCCAAATTCCGGGAGGCGGCTGGCTGCCACCAACAGACAAGCCAAGCAGAGTCTGTTTTTCAACTGAGACATGTTTTACTATGCAATGTGTGTTCTGCAGGGCATCCAGCTGCGGACGATGTGCACACACAGAGTCTTGCACCATCACTGCACTGTGATAAAAACACTACCCCTGACTTACTGACTGACATAACAGTGCTGCCAAGAGTGGGCCAGAGAAGAGCGGCATCAGCATTACTCTGCAGAAAGGGCCAGACTCAACCAGCAGGAGGTGCTGGAGCTCAGGAAAAAACATGCTGAGATGTTGGATGGCAGCAGAGGCAGCACTAAGCCAGGACCTGAGGAACCGAGTATTTATTCTATAGGACACCTGTTCCTACAGTTTCGTGACCAGAAAATTCACATTACATCAGCGCTATCAATTTAGCTTGAGCACAAGCAGCAGAAGACAATTTAAAGCAAGAACTGTCACATTCAGAGGCTTCTAATTTAATCTTCCACACCCATGCCAATGATTTCACTGCTCTCCCCCCTCCCTTCCATCATCACAACTTAATTGCTCACTTATAAACCTCAGTAGCCTGGGAATAGCACATACTTCGAGGTAAAAGGTAATCTTAAACATCCACCTTGGATGTTTCTACCAAAGGCACGATTAGTCTACGGCGAACCAAGATGGATTTATGTCGTCAGTAGGCAGAGTCCTGGCTCCCAGTATACGCTGAGAGGAGGTTGCCTGATATGCAAGTTCAATGCTGCTGTGCCAACCATTCCCCTGAAATGCACAGACTTAGCCACAGAATAGCACCAATGCCCTAGTGAAGGAAGCTTGTAATCAACTTCATGTAGCCAGCAGGGTGCCCCAGGGGTCAGTCCTTGGTCCAGTCCTGTTCAATTTATTCATCAATGACCTGGATGAAGGCACGGAGTGCTCCCTCAGCAAGTTTGCTGATGACACGAAACTGGGAGGAGTAGCCGATACCCCAGAGGGCTGCGCTGCCATCCAGAGGGACCTGGACACACTGGACAACTGGGCAGTGAGAAACCTCATGCAATTCAACAAGGCCAAGTGCAAGGTTCTGCACCTGGGGAGGAATAACCCTAGACACCAGTACAGGCTGGGGACTGCTGGAGAGCGGCTCTGCAGAGACGGACCTGGGCGTTGTGGTGGACGACAAGTTGACCATGAGGCAGCAGTGTGCCCTCGTGGCCAAGAAGGCCAATGGGATCCTGGGGTGCGTTAGGAAGAGCATCTCCAGCAGGTCAACGGAGAGGATCCTGCTCCTCTACTCAGCCCTGGTGAGGCCACACCTGAAGTATTGTGTCCAGTTCTGGGCTCCACAGGACAAGAGGGATGTGGAGCTGCTGGAGAGAGTCCAGCACAGGGCCACAAGGATGATCAGGGGCCTGGAACATCTGCCCTATGAGGAGAGGCTGAGGGAGCTGGGCTTGTTCAGCCTGGAGAAGAGAAGGCTGAGAGGGGATCTAATCAGTTTATATAAGTACCTCAAGGGAGGCGGTGAGGAGGATGGTGCTGGCCTCCTTTCCCTGGTGGCCACTGACAGAACTAGAGGTGATGGCCACAAACCAAAGCACCAAAAAAGTTCCACATGAACTTAAGGAAAAATGTTTTAACAGAGAGGGTGCCAGAGCACTGGAACAGGCTGCCAAGAGAGCTTGTGGAGTCTCCTTCTCTGGAGATCTTCAAAATCCGCTTGGACACAGTCCTGTGCCACGTGCTCTAGGTGACCCTGCGTGTGCAGGGGGTTGGACTAGATGACCTCTAGAGGTCCCTTCCAATCTTGAGCATTCTATGATTCTATGATTCTGTGATTTGCGAAGTGGGAAAAAAAGCAGAGAGTGAAAGGAAAGTCTCACAAATAATTAGCAAACCATTTCTTTCAACTGCTTAAGGAGCAAGCAGCTCAGTATTTTTATGTACTGGTTCAGCAAGACGCACATTGGCACACGATGCTGCACATTTTGGAGCTACCTGGTAACACATCTCCTTGCTGAAAAGCTGAGCAAAGAGAGTCACAAGAAAATGCCTCCAAATTCACTCACGCTTAGCCCAGATCTCTAAATCCTGCAGCTTGGAGTTGGGCAAAGCTAACCCCGCTCCTCAGAAGCACTCCGACCCTGTCTTCCTCCTCCTTTCTCTGCCTTTTAGTGGATTTATTATGTCTCTTCTAAAAGATCTCTTGGGAAAGAGATGACAAGGCTTTTTTGTCATCTCCCCAGAGGTGGAAGAGGAGGGGGAAGGAGGAACAAACACAGAGACTCTCTGAGTGGAGAGCCAAGAATAAACGATCGCAGCAAAGGGGCTTTCTGAACATGTCCCTGCTTAAAAGGAACAACATTTGGGTCCAGCTTCAACAAAGAGCAGTCAGGAGGGCGGCAGGCAGCAAACACCTGCAGATGACAGAGTGTGTTTGCCTCCCACCCTCCTGGTATCTCTGGTAATAAACCACAACGGATACAGCATGAGATATACAGGAAAGAACTGCAACTATCTCTGAGTCCAGCAGCTTCAGGATGCCTGCTCATGAACAGGTAATATAAAGCTGTAATGAAAAGTAGCAAAACAAAGAAATAATAACATGACCAAACAGATCTCTTTAGCGGACAACACCGGTGCCAGGGTAGCTTCTGTTCAAGGAGAAATCTCTGGCATATATTGTAGGTGTTTTCATCTTAACCTTTATATTAATCATCAACTCCAGTCCTAGAAAATACGTGGGAACAGAGAGCAGACAGGACTTTGTCAGAGACCTTAGCCCAAGCACCTACTTCTAAGAATGGAACCAATCTTACAGCAATTCTGTTCAGTGGGTTTAGGAGAGAGACAAAATATCCAGGAGAGAGCTTCCCTTAAAGAAAAAAAAATACAAAAATAGCCAGCAGCACAGCATGTCTTACTAAAAGAAGTAGCAGACGCCACATCCCACAGCACTCCCTTGCCTACAGGCTCAGTCCCACCTTACACCATGTGTTGGCAGGAGTGACCCCAAGCCCCCGGCAGAAGCTGAAGCACGGAGGACTGAAGCACTCCAGTTGGCAGAGCTGGACTCGGGCTGCCACATCTCAAGCACTGGTGACCTCCACCTTGAAATGGAAACCAAGGCGGGCAAGGAAGCTGCGGGCGTCTGCGGGAGCTGCCTGACGTTCATCGGGCACACACAGGCTGTCCTCCCATCTTGCGACTCGCGCTGGCTGCCAGCTGCAGCAGCTCTGCATAAGCGTTTGCGGACAGGTTTAAAGATGCGTCCCCAGACTGCGCCGACCATCGCCCCGATGACCAGCTGCGTCGTCACTCGCGGGCCAAGCCCTGCACCGCTGCGCGGGGGCCAGCCCTCGCCACGGGCTCATCCCAAGGACCTGCACCGTCCGCCCCCGGCCTGATACCGTCACGAGACCACCTTGAAAGTTTACACCAAAGGCTAAATGGGAAAAGGTATTTCTTTTGAAATGAAAGATACTGTGGAATTGTTTCATTTCTTTCAAAAAAGGCCTGAGTTTTTGGAACATAAAGTTCATTTTAAATAGCAAAGTTTAAAGCTTTAAATAGCAAAGTTTTTTTCTTTCAAAAATACATGCAGATCTTCAGAAATCAAGTGT